CTCAGGAGGATGTGTTATGTACATTTGCTTCTGTATCCTAAAGACCACAACTCAGAACCATCAGATGGGGCAGGGGCAAGGGGCAGGTGTTGGGGGCTGGCCCAGAGCTTTCATGCCTCTTGGTTGTGTGTGCCACCTTCTCAGTAACTGCTGTGCTTGACAGCCTGCAAGCATATTGAATCTTGCTGTCCAAACTTTACTGAACTGAATCTCACTGCTCCACACCCCTTTCCCATATCTTGGTGAGTGAGGCCGGAAGTTCCCCCACCCCTCAGGTCAGTTGGTCTTCCTGTGACCAAACCCATGTGGAGGCCATCAATCTAAGATCCCACCCCAAAGTACCTCAGGGGTGATCAACAGGAACTCATGAAGAATAGCAAAAGACATCCCCATCATTGGGGAAATCCCCAGAGTTTTAGGAGTTTTGTTATAGGAACCAGGGGCAATGACAAAAAATATCTGTTGTTATACTAGGTTAGTAAACAAATGTACAAATAAGCAAGCAAACAACGTTATGACTACCAGGGAATAGGGAGACGGTATACTGATAAAATAAATATATAGTGTTAACTGTAATAGATCATGTGAAATATCCAGTTTTCAGCAAAAAAGTATGAGCAGGAAAATGTAACAGGCACACAGAAAAAAACAAACATCAGGCAATGGGAACTGTCTCTGAAAGGGGCCAAATGTTGGACTTCGTAGAGGTATTATACATGCAGCCAAAGAACTAAGGGAAGCCAAGATTAAGTGCTTAAAGGAAGATACAATGACGACCTCTCATCCAAAACAGAACATTGGTGAAAGTATAGAAATTATCAATATCAGTTATCAAAATATAAATTCTGTGTCCAAAATGAAAAATGTGTCAGAGGGATGCACCAGTAGATTTGGCTTCACAAGGAAGAAAAGCAGCAGTCTTGAAGAGAAATTGATAGAAATTATACAACCCGAAGAACAGAGAGAAAAAAGAGCAGGCGATTAAATAGCATCTCAGAGATGTGTAAGAGATCATGAAATGCACCAGCATACACATAAAGGCAGTTTCACAAAGACAGGAGCAAGAGAAACAGGCAGAAAAAGTTATTCAAAAAGTAATGGTTGGGCTGGGGATTTAGCTCAGCAGTTCGGTGGCCTGCTTTGCAAGAGCAAGGACCCGAATTTGATCCCTGGTCCAAAAAAAAAAAAAAAGTAATGGTTGCTAACTCCTAAAATTTGTTGAAATGAACATTAATCTACATATCCAGGAAGCTCAACATACCTCAAGTAGGATATAAGCAAAGGCATATCATAGTCAGTGTTGAAACAAAGAGACATACAGAGCAAGAACACATAAACACATACAAAGGAAACCCAACAGCTAACTTTCCAGCAGAACAAGGGGGCTAAGGTAAGCAGGATGGCAGATTTGAAATATCACAAGAAGAAAAGTGCCTGTCAGCCAAGACTCCTTATGCCCAGAAAAATCTTATACAATTTAAAGTGAAATAAGCAGGAGAAATGTGTACTAGTAATACAGTTAGAAAGAGTGGAGCTGAGGGAGTCCTTTCCCTCCATTTAATTCTAAACAGCACCCTACAGTTATTCCTGCTTCCATTATACTGAAAAGGTAACAAAAGCTCAGGAGGTTGATGATACTCTAGGGGAGAGCACATGCCTGTTGGATCTCTTTGCTCCCAGGGACCCTACTCCTACCTCAATACAAGTCCATAAATATGCACTACGTGTCATAAGTATAATTGAGCTCAGAGTGAATTCTGCAACAAGCATGCATATTGAGAGCCCCGAAGATGACTCAGCACCCTGTCAATCAGTCTTGTCAGTCACACCCAGAGAGTCAGTGGGAGGCACCTGAAATGGAGGTGCTCGGCCTTTACCTTGTGCAAGCCTGATTTATCTGCCCCTTTTTTTGGTTGCTGCTGCTACATGGGTGTGATTTGACCTGTATGTAACGCCCTTCTGTTACCCTGGCACATTTTTCTGTCCATCCCCTGTCTTATGGTGGCACAGACTCGCCCTGAGCACAGCTTTCCACGATCTTCAGTAAACACAGCTGCTTACTACTTACAACGGGGCGTACACTTCACTATTCTTTCCTCATGTGTAAACATGAACCTATCATTGGCCCATTCCACTGTAACATTAGCATACATACAAGAAATACCAGTGGAAGTTCTTCATGTTGAAATGAGTGACTTCAGGCACTAATTTGTATCCACAGGAGAAAACAAATAGCATCAGTAAAGATAATTATGAGGGTAATTACAAAATAGTAGAATTACAGATGCCTTCTTCTGAATGTTTTAAAAGCATTTGCATAAAACAATTTGTATATAATGGTATTGTGTCTAAAATGTACGGAAATATAATATACTCGTCAGTAATAACACAAAGGAGATAGGTAGGCATCAAGGTGGATTGGTGTAAGGACTTAGCAAATGATTGACTAATTAGAATCCTATTAAATAACATGGGGGCTAGAGTGGTCCTGCCTTTGTCCCAACTTTATGGGAAATGTGGAGCCAGGTAAAAGGGAGAGGTGAGGACTTTGGAGTCAGACAATCTGGGTTGAGTTCTTTGGGGCAGCCCTCTGCCACTTAACAAGGATACATTTTGAGGATTGTGTCCGTTAGGGTTTGTATGGCGAGTCCCTCAAGGCCTTCATTTGCTCACAGGTGGGACTTTGGAAGGTGACTCAGTCATGGGGGTAGTGTTGCTGACCTCCTGTTAGGAGGTGGGGCTTGGTAGTACCTGCAGGTCACTGGGGCATGACTGGAAAGGTGTATCTCCTCCTCCAGCTCCTCCTATAGCCCTCCACTTCCGGGCCTCCATGACTGGAGCAGCGTCCCTCTGCCCAGGTGCTTCCACCATGGCATTTCTGTGTTTAAGCCGGACATACATCGAATGAAGCTTCTGAAACTGTGAGCTCAAATAAACCTCTTCTCCTTACAGTTGTAGGTGTGGGGTATTCTGTCCCAGTGAGAAGGAAGTGACTAAGCCAGCATTGTTAAGTGACTTCATCATTGTGCAGCCATCTTGGAATGTTGGGCATTACACTGGGTTCTCAGGACCTTCTCTGTGTCTGCTCTCAGCACTCCTCGCTGCCTTCAGTGGAGCTGAGTTTAACTTCCTCTGTCACCTGCTCTTGCCCATGGGACCAGAGCTGTGGTAAAACTGGCCACACCTGGCTGGTGTGGCAAAGAATCACTGATTCTCCAATTCTATAGCCCTTACCACTTTTAGTTTTGTTTCCAGGTCAATGGTGATACAGCCTCCCACTGGCAGCATTAGCAGTGGATTTTGTAGGCTCATGATGAGCAAAATAACAGAAGATTAAATCAAGCACAAGAGAAAAGAGTGCAATCAAGAGAGGCCATAAACACCAGACTCATGAGGCTGCTGTGAGTGCCACACACAAAATGTTTTACAGGAACTTGTGTTCAATTGAGTACGAGGAGTACACTCTAAAATAATGACAAAAGTCTAGTAAGTATGCATGCCAGCAACGCAGTCATTGATTGTTATTATCAAGTATTGTGCACTGTGCACAAATACCTGTGTGATACTTTTAGTGACTGACAGTGTATTGGGCTTATTTGCACCAACATCATACAAACATTATTGTACTGCACCCTGGTGTCGCAACTGCTGTCCCGTCACTTGGTAACAGTACACTTACAGCTCCATTATAATCTTGTGGGGACCAGTGTCCTACTTGAGGTTGTAGATGGAAACACCATTGTTCTGTGCATGACTCCTTTTAGCATCTGGAACTTGGATAAGCTGCCAGCTTCTTTGGAATATTGGTTTCTTAGTTTATCAGGTGCAGCTAGTGGTAGAATATCTAATCTAGCTTCTTTGTCCTATCCATTTTTTTCGAAGTATCCTTTTAAAAAAATTAAAATTAAAATTTGTTAGCTCATGTTTGCCGTATATAATGGTTACATTCATCATGGAGAGTTGGTACGTGTATGTCATACATCTTAATTCTCTTTACTTCCCCATTCTCCTCTCTATTTTTTGTCTTCCTTCCCATTTGCAAAATATCTATTTCCCTGTTTCCTATTATCTATCTTATATTTTGCTCTTTGAACTTTGGGTTTCTCAGTAAGAGAAGTCATGCACTATTTCAGCTTGTGTGTTTGATCTGACTCGCTTAGCTGAAATAACTTTGAACGTGGTGGTGCGTGAACAGGGCTGGTGGCTGAATGAGGAATGCTACTATGTGCACCCCTGTCTGCAGCCTGTCTACTCAGACCCTTCCAAGCCAAGCTCCAGAGCACCCCCACCAACCAAAGGCTACCCAATTCTCCTCCCCACAGCCCCCCAAGGCAGAAGCAATCCTTCCAGCAACTCTGTAGGCCTTCACCACTACATCCTTACTTGCACTTACCACAATCTTCCTGTGATTTGTTTTCACTAGCCACCTTTGCTTTTAGACTATGTTTGATGCTAGGAAGTCTTCTGGGTTTTCCCTTTTTATCCCGCCTCAGGATAAAATTACTCTCAGGTGAGTTACTGCATGCATTTGACCAGCATCCAGTTCCAAGTACAGTAGCAGCTGTTCATCCTTGTTACCCATAAAGTCAAAGTCATATTTTATTTTTAAAAAATGTTAGCTACATTGTATTGCAGTTTTATCAAGAATGCAGGCAAATGACAGGCTTGTCATCTCACTTGCAGATTGGAAGAGGAAGGAGGAATGCTGCAAAGCCCATGAAAATGCAGACTTGCACCAAAAATTATAAATAAAAATGTACTAGTATGGCGTGTTTCATTCTTTGGAGACTATACAAATTGGAGCAGGCCCCCCCCGCATTAGTTTGGTTCGCAAATGTCCGTACTGAGTATGTATTGTTGTATGATTAGGAAAAGCGCTACTGCTGATAATGTGGAAAACCTGCAAGCCAGCCATGCCCCCGTTTCAAAGCTACGCGGTGCTGGACGATACTTTGTCTTTGGATCCTGAACAAACAAAAGGTTTTTTACTTTTTCTCTAGGGAGCATTTAGAACAACGAGGCTTGTCCTGAATTTTTTCTCTTGCGGGATTTGCAATGAAGGTCTCAGAGGAGCAGATACTGCCCGCGGGAGCCTTGGCTCAGTCCGCACACCTGGGCGCTCAGACATCTATTGGCCAACGGATGCTGGACTTCAACCAATGCCCACCTCCCCGCCCGCCCGCTGGTTGTCATGGCTACGGAGCACGCTAACTGCGGTCTGAGAAAGGCGGCTCTGGGGACAGCAAGGGACGATGGCGCAGAACCTATACGGCCCTCGAGTCCGGATAGGAAACTGGAACGAGGACGTCTACCTGGAGGAGGTAGTGAGTGCATGGGGTGTGGCAGGCGCCGCTAATCCCCTCCTGGCCTCAGGCCCCGCCTCCTTCCCCCACATAAGCCCTCCCGTGAGGCCTGCAAAATTCTGTCCTAGGGCCCTACTTGCCCCGGGTCACATCTCAGCTCCCTCAGCCTCTTCAGGCCTGGCCAGGGCCCCTCACACCCCGCTGGGGCTGCAGCCCCTTAGGGTCCCACAGGCTGTGAGCCAAGCGAGGCCGCCCAGTGCTCCTGCTCGCGTTGCCCCAGCCCTGGGGTGCACTCTCCTGAACGACTCCAGCTGACCTGGGGTGGTGGTGGTGGTGGAGGTGGAGGTGCAGGTGTGTGTGGCAGGGTGGGCCTCCGGTGCCCATCACCGCACACTCGGGGCCTCGCAGAGGGAAGGTGGCCGCCACCTGCCACCACACATTTGACCCCAGTCGGGATAATTACAGGGAATATTGCTTTTTCTTCCTTGTGTCTTTCTCAACTTTTTAAAGATTCTGCAATGACATAAACATTTAAAAAGTGCTAAATAAAGGCTCCAACGTGCTTTCTCAATTCAGGAAGCTTCTGATCCTACAGCTACCAGTGCCTTCCCTACTGGAGGCTGTAGCTGTCACTGGATTTTATTCTTCTTTTCTTTAACAGGAGCTCATGAAAGACTTCTTAGAGAAGAGAGAGAAGGGGAAACTTCTCATTCAAAGAAACAGAAGACTGAAAATGCATCTTTTGAGACCAGTAATTTCAAATTTTAACATTGTTTTCCAAAATTCTCTTAAGTATGAGCGTATGTGAAGCAGAAAAAAACCTCCATTAAATGAGTTACCATTTGGAAAATGGTAACGTTTTTGGGAAAGCTTTTTAAGTTTTTTTGAAGTTTGTGAACCACAGGATTTCAAATCCCTTCAGATTTAAGAACATAAAGACATCTGCTTTTAATTGTGTTTACTTGCATTTTCCAAATAAAGAAATTAATGGACTAATACATAAATACTCTTAGTTGGGTGCTCAAGATATTTTCAATGCATGCCAAGCAGATTAATGATGGGGCCAACCTGTGTAATTTTCACCAGCTTCATTACATATTATTTGGGATCACTGGGAATTTAGTCTCGGCAAAATGGAAGGGAAAGGAAGAAAGGTAACAATTTGAGGGAATCTGGGTGAAACCATTCTGGCCAAGGTGCTAGTCTGAGGAAAGGAGATGTTAAGTGGGATGGCCTTATCTTTGGTTAAGGATTATATGGATTATTTGAGAAATTCCTACTAAAATTACAGATGCAGCTTTCGGTATCTGAAGATGGATATATTCACTATGGTGACCAAGTGATGCTGGTGAATCCCGACCACCCCCAAAGGGAAGAAGCGGGGCTGTTCCTGGGCGGGGACCTGAGCCTGTGCATGACCCCAGATGAGATGCAAGCCCACCTGAGTGATGAGCTGCAGTTGCCCTGTGGCTTGAGTGCAGCGCACACCACGGCCCCAGTGGGCAGAAACACTTTTGTCGTCCTGAGGTAGAGATGCTTTGACTTCCAGCCTCTTCTCATTGTCACATCTATAGGCCTTGTAGGTTCAGGGTGCCATGGGTTTGCAGGTTCCGTGGGGCTGGAGCAAGGTTGTATGAAGGTTTTCCGTGGTTTCAGCCTGCTCGCTCCCCTTTCCAATTATGAAGGGAACTTTACACTCCACTTTACCTCAGACAGCAGGACATTGGCAATTTGTGTTCATTTCAAAGTATTTGCTGCATAATTAGAAGATCCAGGGAACTGAATTTGTATCCTGCTTGTGAGCAAAGTGGGTTTTCCTAATGGTGTCCCAGGATCTTTATGCTACTTGTTAGCCATTGTTCTTAAGCTTGCCACACTATCTTTACAACAAGAGTTGTGCTGGGTGGCAATGAATGGGATTTGCTTTTTAAAAATTAATTATTCATGAAAAATGTACCTAGGAGATTTTGCAAATGTGCAGTGACATCCTTAGAGGACAAATAGAGACATCACAATTAAAAGCAATTGCTTTCTCTTTTGTTAAGTAATTACGATAGCAGTGTTTATATGACAAGAACGCAGCTGATCCTTTAAGCATTTGATTTAGATTTCTCTTGAGTACACAGTTTATGTTAAAATGACTAAAACCTGAGCACAATTTCTGTTTCCTGGAGGATTAAGTGGGAAGAGTGTAGCAAAGGTTCCAAATGTGGCCTTGGCGCTCTCTGACGACGCCAGAGCATGTGACCAGAAGTTCTTGGTTCGCACCAGCACAGTGGGTTCAACCCACACAGGCCAAAGGCTTCCCGGGGGTGGGTGCTGTGGGTCTCAGCCAGGACAGGGAAGTGCACGCTAGCCAGATTTTAAGGCCAAGAGAACTTTTATTTAGTTCTTTAATTCAGGTATGGTATTTGAATATACTTTATCAAGATAAGGAATTATGAATAAAATTGTATACATGAAAAACAGAGCTGGAGAATGATTCTAACCCAGGGATCTCATTGTACTTATGATCCACTCAGTGTAGACAGAGATGCCACTGGCCAAGTGCTTCGGTACGGGCAGGACTTTTGCCTTGGGATAACAGGAGGATTTGAAAATAAGATGGTGAGTTGTCGGTTTCTTTGCGCATCTCCTGTGGAGTAAGTAGAACGCCTGTTTTGTGTATAAATGCTCCACTCTGTGTATAATGACCAACCTCAAGTTAGGAATTTCATCTTTAATATATGGGATATATTAGCATGAATGACTGTCACAGAATATTAATAGATTAAAAAGTATTGATATGTATTCTTTCTGTAAGAGGTTGTACCTATTTGTATTCCCAGCAACAAAAAATAGGAATGACATGAATTATATTAAATATCATCTTTGAAATCTTTGCTAAGCTGAAAAGCCAAGAGAAGAAAGATGTGTAAATGTGGTAGTGCTTGTGAATTTTCCTGTGCTTTCTGTTCCTTCTCTTCCCTTCTTCTTCCTCCTCTTCCCTCTCCTTTCCTCCTCCCTTCTTCTTCTTAAATTCTGTCCTTTTTTGCAAGTATTTCCTCCCCCATACTTTGTCTTTAAAATTATAGCTGTTCCAACATTATATTTTACAGTAAAATCTATCTGTAATTTCCTTATTCCTTTTGAAGTTTAGTTTGTCTTAGCGATCCGATAAAAATAAAATTTATTCTCTTCTATATGCTATTTGCATTGCTTTAAATTTATTCTTTAATCCACTTAGATTAGTATTTATTTTGATAGAATTTTATATATCTGTATTTTTCCAAATGACCAGTCAGTTCTGATCTCTCCTGAATAATTATTCCTTTCTTTACTGTCACACAATGCTTCTCCCATATGCATAATGCACTATTTCTAAGCTTTCTATTTTTATCCATTGGATTATAGTTGTCTATTTTTATTCTAGGACCATAGTGTCTTAATTATTATAGCTATGTAATAGACTTTAACAGCTCACGCTTGTCTTTCATTACACTGTCTGAATTACATCAGGAAATAATTTTGCAGTTAAGTGTAATAATTATCTTTTCTTCGGATCCTCTCCTTTTGTAGGGCAAAGAAATTACTTTGTATTTTGATTGGTATGGTCAAAGTAAGTAGAGTTGCACATTTAGTAGCTGTTCTCAGTAAAATTTCATATTTCTCAATATGAATTTGTGATTTTTCTTCTCATGAATTTGACATATCTCATTAAAATTATTCCTTGGTGTCTTGTGTTTTTGACCTCCTTTGTTGGGAGGTCCTTCTGATAATGTAAATACAGAACATTTGATCTAATGAAGAATAACTTTTATTATAAAATAACAAAACTTTTCATATTCATCTTTGATGAAATCAGTTGTTCATTCTAATAGTTTTTCAGTAGGTCCTTTTCTACTTCCTAGGTAGATAGTCATTTCATCTTCAAATGGTGACTCTTTTCTGTCTTCTCAAACTCGCATACCTTTAATTTCTGTTCCTTGTCTTTGAGTTAGCAAGCACTTCTGGGGCATCTGTAAAAAATCAGGTGATAATGTCTTCCAGCCCAGTTCCTCATTTTATTACTGTTTTTCTTTAGTATGGTTGAACACAGCAGTCTGGGATTTGAGACAGATACTCCTTCTAGCCCTGGTTCCCTCATGCTTCTGAATGGCGCCATGATTCTCCCTGCACTCCAGGGTACAGGCCCGGTGGACCTTGGGTCCCAGCAGGTGCTGTTATCTGCCTAGTCCTCTGCTGTCCCTTCTAAGGCATCTTGTGGCCTCCTTACTCCCTATGCAGGCCTAGGTCTGGCCCTTTTAGTCTCGTCTGACTACAGATCATCCTAGATAGGGGCTGCCAGACTGATCTTTGAAAGCACAGGCCTGGTTGCCTCTACTTTCCCTGAAAAGCAGCTGTGGCTCCCTATTGCCCAGTGGAGTTCTGGGTGTCTACTGTGACAGCTAAGCCCTCCTGTAAGAGGTCCTCCCACCTGTCCATACTGTGCCTCTCCCTGGCACTCTGATCCTCTGCCCTCAAACCTCATCACGACTCTGCTGCTCTGCCCTGACCTCTAGGGCTTTCAGGGGTCACCATCACGTACTCTGACAGAGTGCCTGAGATGATCTGCTTATACAGAGGAAAGGTGGACTCTGGCTCACAGTGTTGGGGGCTGCAGTTTCCCTCTACCTTAGGCCTGTGGTAAGGCAGATCAGCATGGAGGGAGTAGAGAAAAAGAGGAAGTGGCCATGGCCTCCCTGTCCACTCTGAGGTTGGATCCCATGACCTGAGGACTTCCCACCCAGCCTCCCCCACATCCCAGCAGTGCCTCTGGGACTGAGCCTGCAGTACACTGGGGACATCCACATCATCCGCATGACCCCCAGTCTGCACCATCGCCCATCCTGCCTAAGGGTCACAGATTACTTCTGCCTTCCCAGCAGTGCTCTACACTGCTGTGACTATCAAGAATGACTAGAAACCTGTCACTCTTGTGATAGAAGCCACTGTCACATTCAAGGCGAAGAAAACCTGGAAAGAGCAATAAGGAGTGAGCATGGGGCATTGCAGGATGTAGGGAGGATTTCTGGCAACAACTGAAGTGAATTCCCGGCTAAGCCCCAATCCCAGGTGTGCTGGAGTTCCTAGTTGAGTGTGGAAGTATCTGAAGGGCACTTTCAGTCCATGGGTCAAGTTTCCTGCAACATTCTTTACAGTAAATGAAATACTGGCTGTGTTCCTGGCCCCAAAGAAGAGGAGGGAGGAGGGGCAGGGAGCAGGAAGAGAAGACAGTCTGCTGTCTAGAAGCAGGAGCAGCTGTGTGTGTGTGCCTTCGCACTTTCTCATGCTGTCCCTAAAAGCAGGACTTTGGGATACACCGATTTCCCAGCTCGCTGTCTGCTGTTGCCCTAACTTTGAGAATCACCACAACTCACTTGCCTGCTGTGTCTCTTCCAGCTGTATTTATCCAGTGACCACAGGACCCTCTTGAGATCGGCCAAGAAGTCCTGGCTCCAGGAAGTGCACCTGACAGATGAGGTGTCACACCTGGCCTGGTGGCAGGCCACCTTCCTTGACCCCCAGCTGCGTCTGGAGCAGGAGGGCCTCCCGGTCCAGGTGAGTGCATTGTGCACAGGCAGGACACAGGGACTGTACTGCAGGAACAAACGCACCTCACCCTGTCTGGAAAGTGGAGGTTTCCCTCTGCTCACATCAAGACCTCCTTCCTGTGGTATGTCTGTGTTGCACAGCACCTTGCTTGCATGTTCCACCCTGACGCCAGGCCCTGCCCTAACAGGCTGAGAAGCCTAGTGTGTGACCTCAAGGACTGGGGCACTGTGACCCTGTGTCTTATGTGCTGTCTTCTTTGGGATCCTGGTCACATCTTTTCCCTCCCCTCCCCTCCCCTCCCCTCCCCTCTTTTTCTTCTTTCCTTCCTTCCTCTCTCCCTCCTTCCCTTCTTCCATCCTCACCTTGCTCCCTTCCTCTTCCTGTTTCCATAGATCTGCCCCCCGCTACTTACTGTGCGGTGTCCACTGAGCACTTCCTAAGCCAGCCCC